GCGATAAGCTCCTGAGAATCTTTTGTTCCACTTTTGCAACTTCACTTTCTTCGTAAGTGGCCGAGCGCATGCTTTTCGAGTTGTGCCCGAGAGAACCGGATCTCGAGCGCGAGACGCCGCGCAGTGTCGAGTTCCTTCTTTCTGTTCTGGCTGCACTGCGCGCACTGCGAAACGGACTTAGGTCTACTGCCTCACTCATGTCAGCGCCGACGGCGACGCTCGGCTGCCGATGAAGCGGCGACACCGCCTCAGCGCTCGACTCCACGTCATGATTGCGCCCGTGCGGCGACTCGCTCGAAGCATTTTCAGAATCTGCAACCTCGACTCTCCTTCCAACGCCCTCCGGAGCGCGCATTGATTTAACTAGGTACGAAGGCGTCCCGGGCTCTGCGCGCCGGGTTTCCATAACGCTACTCGTGCGCAAGGAAGCGGCGTGCGAAAGCGGAGCATCACGATTTGTAGCCAATTGTGAACGCGCGTCTAACTCACACTCGTCTGCAGAAGCGCAGCTCACGTCTTCACTATGCAGAGTCTCAGACAGAGCGCTGATTACGGCTGGGCTCTGCGGACGCAGATGCGGATAGTTTTTCAATGGAGCTAGTTCCTGTTGGTTGGCGAAAAAGTTGAGGCCGCCGTACCACGATTTCAACATTGCTAGGTACTCGTCGTACTCGCTGCGCGAGATTTGCCTAAACACGTGAAGCATCAATTTTCCCAACGACGTTTTCGTCTGACCTTCGTCGTGCAATGATTGCCAGAACTTCTTGGCCTGGTCCACGCGCACTCCGAGTTTCACCGCGATGTTGAGAAAATCTTCAAGGTTGATCATGGAAAATTGGTCCATACCTTTCTCGATGCTGTTCAACGCCGGCGGGTTACCGTAGAACTGCACGATTCGCCGCACAAAGTCCTCATTAGTAATTTCCGAAAGGTTTTCTAGATTGCGCACAAGCGCCGACAAGGTGAGTGTGCGTTCATTTGGCGAGCACAGCTTCCCGAAGTACTTTTCAAGCAACCTGCTTGCAAACGAGATGTCTGGAAAGAGCTCCTCTATGCCGCGGCAAAAACTAGTGTAGTAAACGATTCCTGAATTTGGCGAGAACTTCATGTACAGGGTGTACACCGACCAACTGTTTTCGATCAGATGCATCAGCAGCAAAGCGCGCATATTTCTTTCGAACTCAACAAACTCGTCAATAAGGTCGACGCACTTGAAGCGCTCTTTGTCGATCAAGATTGCACTGAGCTGCTCGAGAGTTCGCATCTGAGAAAAATTCTGTTTGTGCCAGTACAGTGTGCCGCTCGCATGTTGTGCGCCACCGCAACGGCAGTCGGCCGCAATTTTGAGCCTAAACACATCGCCTTCAACTTCTAGGGCGTTGCCAAAGCAGCGCTGCCAAACTGTTTGCAATGATCTTGAATTCGCGCAAATTTGCGCAAATGCCTCCAAGAAACCACTTTTTCTAACTACGTCATCCCGGAGCAGCGATGCGTAGCTGTCGTCAGCAGTGCAGTACTCGAGAAAATGGCAGTAAAGTCTCCGGCCGTATTGCGCGCTTTTGTCGTCATACAGCGTTCTGTACAACGAGGCTAGGGTGAAACGCTGCGCGCCAGCGCTGTCGTCGGCGCAAACATCGAACAAGTTTCGGAAATATTTGTAGTGACGGATTTCGTGGCGCAATGTACAATATTCGAGATTGAAGCGAATGAAGTTCTGATCGTCAATGTCTTTAGTGCAAACGTGGCTCAACATGCGAAAGTACTCAGCTGCTGAAACGCATAGTCGGTCAAGTTCAGACTTGAACAGAAATAGCACAGAAGTGTACGACGAGTCCAGCAATACCGAGCGCGGCACGTGGTAACGCACGCTACCTTTTGCGCTGAGCGGTGCTTCATTCGTTTGCTTTTCAGGCTGCAAAGCTTCGTCAATCGGTTTGTACAGCGACATAACTTTTTTCACGCCGCTTCCGGCGCTGGCCGTATCCGTCTTTCCGTTCTCGCTCCACCCTTTGACGGCTTTTTTGACTTTGTTTTTCAGCTTGCGGAAACTGCTCAGCCCAGCAGCGTCCTCGCTCTGCGAGTGCAATTCGGATCCTACGTCTCCTAGCGCAATTATTCCCGGACTCGGAACTAAGCCAGGCTTCGCCGCGCCGGCGACGCCAAAACCCTTTGTCGCCATTCGCTGCCGCCGCTCGCCTTTGCTCGCTGAATTTGCAGCACTCGCAACAGAACTGGAAGCCACCACATATTTGTTAGCACCCACACCTAACGACGCTTTAGACGTCAGAGAACTGTCAACCTTTTCTGCGAGCTGCGCTGTCGGATCCACTGCGCTGTACTGTCCCGCGCTGCGTATCGGCCATTCGTCCTCAACTTCTTCGTTGTTTCGCTCCCCTGTAAACTCGATTCCGGAGCGCAGGTAGCGTCTGTCAGTCTCGGGGCTGTCAAGGTGCTGCTGGCTGGGCTGAGTAACTGTCGATGGGGCGGTTTCAGGGGCGAGGTAGCCCGGTTTGTCAACTTGCACTGCTTCACGATTCGCAGAAACGTCGCGCTGTGCTATTTGCGGCGGTGGTTCGCCAACCACTAGGCGCTGTTTAACAGCAGAATCGCGCAATTCGCGCTCAGTTTCGAGCACTTCTTTCTGCGCGCGAATGTGACGCTCGTGTTCTCTAAGCCCCTTTTCTACCGCTTCTAACTTGTCCGAAAGCTCCTTGAAGGCGCCCAGAGGCACGTTTGCTTCAGTAGGGCTCACAGCTGGTTGTCGAACCCACCGCTCAACATCTTGTTGCACCCGCTTCGTGTCGGAAGGGCTTAGCACCTGCTGCGTAGCAGAGGCGTCGAGCTTCGTTACAAAGTGCCTGCGGGTGTCGTTATCGATCAAATCGGCCCCTAAGAATTGGCGCAACAGGCGCCCTACGTCTTTCAACTCTTTGGCAACTTCTTCGTCATGCGGGTCAAAGGAGCGCTTTATGCCTGTCTTGTTCACGTTGCTGTCGTGCGCAATTGCATCAAGGCCTTCAGCGTCGAGTTTAGAAATCAGGCCCGGCGTTTTTGTCGTTTGCAGCTGATGCTTGAACTGAAGTGGCTGCGCTGCGCATCAACGTTGCACGACTCAGCGCCCGCAACCGCTTACTATCTACCTATCTAACTATTTTGTTGCAAGGTCGCAAACAGTACTTCAGTCAACGCTGTATTGCAGGTTCGGACTTACGGTGTCTCGGTCGTAGTTGAACTTAAGTTCAACGAGTTCGCGCTCGAGTTCCTCGACACGCTTCGCGAGCGCTGCGTTCCTACATTTGCTCGCAACGAGCTCGCTGCTCGTGCGCGTTCTTTCGGTCGTTTCCAGCGACGAATTAACTTCCTCAAATGTCCCACTAGCATAGACCGCGACTACATTCTTTAGTCTCTCGCGTAACACGCACGCAGAGTCGCTTTTGTCCGGAGAAAGCAGTTTTTCCACTATGTGCGCGACGCAGCGGTATAGCCGGTGCACTTGCGGTTTCCACATGGAGCTGACCGCTTTCTCGTTGGCGAGTTGTTGCTTGAGCGTTTCCACTTTTTGATTCAGCGCAAGAATCTTATTCACGAGCGCATATCGCTGTTCTTCAGCCGTCACCGCTTCGCTCAGCGAATCTCGGCCAGCCCGAATAGCCGGATGCAAAAAGGGGTCCTTCTCGCTCGCGTGCTTCACCGCGCACAAATACTCTTTGCACATCAGCAGTTCTTCGTGCAACGTGTCTCGCTGTTTGGTGACCACTAAAAGACGATCTTCCATAAATTTGTTCTCCAAACCATCCGCGTTGTCCTCGAGCACCTCGATCAGTGTCATCAGATTCTCGCTGCAGCGGCAGTCAGCGTAACCCAGCAGCTCGCCCATTTCCTCAGTAGAGACCAGCTCGGTGACTCTTTTGGCAGCCGCACCTGCGTCCAGCGCGTTGAGCTTCAACTTCAGCCGAATAAGCTCGCGCAGCAAGCGTCGCGTACGTCGTTCGAGCAACTCGTTGAGTCGTCCAACACTGTGCGTGCCTTGCGCTGCGCTGCCGGCGACCTCAGAGAAATTAGCGAACTTCGCCTTCACAGACGCCGGCACATGCCGAAACAGTTCTTCGTTTACTGCGCGAACCGTGTTCAACTCGCGCGTGATCGAATTCACGTACTCGCTGACGCCGCGGTGCTTCACGATAATCTCTGCTGTTCTGTGCAGGTCCCAGTCCTCCTCCTCTGAATCGCTTGGCGCAAACGCTATGTTCTCGTTAACCTTCTGAAACAGCGAACTCGGCTCAAAGCGAGCAAGACTCGGTCTTCTCGCGTCACGCGTTGGCGCGTTGGTCCTCTGCAGCGCGCTCTCAGAGTGCTCGAGGCTCGCAGCGTTGCGTGAGTCAGAAGCGTTCTCCGACGCAGGCTCGGACCCGAGCCGCGGCAGCAAGTTCGGTGGCAGCTTAGACACCAACACGCGCTTGCCTGCGTCGCGCGGCTACGAACCTACCGATGGCGTAAACAGACGGCGCAAGCTCGTCGTCTATGACGACTACCTCTCTGCCGTCAGCAGACTTTGCCATGATCTGCGGCTAGTCTGGCTCAATAAGATTAATCTAAAACGTGCACACAGAGTTAGGAACAAATATCTAAGCGGCAGGATCGCTCGCGAGCAGCGCCGCAGGCAAAGCCGCGCCGCTACGGAGCTTTAGAGTCGTCGGACTCACTTGGCTTACGCGTCTGACGACGTCGACTGCATTGCGCGTTGCCGCACTTACCTGTACTTGCGAGGCCCCTCCGACTTCATGAGCGGGTTGTCGACCTCGCGGTCGTCCAGCAAAGGACGCTTGCTCGAATCGTACGAGACCCGTCGAGAACAACTCATTAACTGGCCCATATCTAAATGCAACAGCACATGCCAATGCCCCAATTCGCGACAATATTTAAATCGTCTCATTAACCGAATCGAACAACTCCGCGACGTCACTCGCAAGCAAGAGTCGGCACGGCAGGTTTTCGCCGACCTCGCAAATCTCGAGCATTTCAGGCGTCAGCGTCTGTCCGTCTTCGGTCGTCGTCTTCAACAGCGCCTTGATTCCGTGGATCTTCAAGTCGCGTAAACTGCATTCCGCGAATGCCGACTGGTTCTTCTCGAGGTACGTCTTTGCGCTCTGCGAGTGCCGGCCGATCGCAAAGGCTTCGTATTCTTCCACTTCGCCCGACGGTCGCGTCTCAAAAATGTGCGGCCCATACGCGTCGTAGCCCGCCAGCAGCAGCGAAACGCCGAACGGACGTCGGTCTGAGCGGATTGTGTTCGTCTGCGCAATCGAAGTGTACACGTTCATCATCGTGTGCATGCTCGCATGCCGGCGGTACAAGTACTGGTAGTACGCGTCGACGTTGAACAGCGCACGCGAGAGAAACTTCGCGTCGTTCGTAATGCCGGAAAACGTCAAGCCCAGTTGCTCGCTGACCAGCCTCATCTTCGAGGTCAAGTACGACAAGTCGTCGACGGCCTTCTTGGTCGTCACCAGCACCGCGAACTTCTGGCTTCTGATCCCGATGCAGCAACTCCCCTGTTTGGTCGCCTCGGTTGCGTATTCCACCTGCAGCAGCTTGCCTTCCGGGGACCAGGTGATGACGTCTAAATCGTACGAGTTCCCGGACATGGCGAATCGGCAAATATAATTCCGTAATCGTGTAGAAATTAAAATAGATTATGACTCTCTAGCTGCGCAGCGCGCTGCGTCCTAGCCGCCACTGCCCATGACCAACTTTTC